AATATGGTATCACTTTAATTTATTTCGTTAAAAGTTTCAAATTTTAACGAAGCGTTCATATATGCATTCATATACTTCATTTTAAATTTAGTTTGTACAGAACGTTTGAAGAAAGAAAAACGAAGAGTAAGTCTTTTGAATTGTTAAAATAGTTCTTTATTTAAAATAATTTGATTTTAGATATTAAAACTGTGCTGTTGATTTGAATGTAAAAACTCAATAAACCGCTTGTTTGTAATACTCGTTTATGTTGATATTCTTTCGAACGTTTATTTGCTGCCGCAACATCTCCAATGAATTCAAGGCGTGAAATTTCCCTCCCCTTTTTGGTTTTTATTTTTCTCAGGCAGATCGTTTGTTAACTCCTATTACGCGGGTAACAAAACTTACATGGTGACAGTGAACTCAGAATACTAAATGGTAACAAAATTAACTGAATGGTAAATTTTAATAGCTCTACAGAAAGAATCAGTTAATCTAAGCAACGAAACTACTGTTTCAAGTGCTAAGTAAAGTATCCTGGAGGAAAAATTGTTTCCAATGGTAATTTTGGCAAATTAATTTTTTCCGGTCTACTTCTCGGAAAACTCCTTTGCCATCGCATTCCAACAACATACCCGGAACGAATCCTCTAAGTTTCAGATCTCTACAAACAGTGATTTAGGCTGTGGGTTTATCTGTCAGTCATTCAAAACAGACCCTTTTATATATTTATATTGTATGTGTGTGCGTGTGTATGTATATAGATATAGATATAGATTGTATATATTTTAATGGTTTTGGCGACTTTTCTTCTATTTTTAATAGTAATTGTTTGCCGGCTTTTGTTTAACTCCGCTGTATAATATTTCGGCTACACGCCGGTAACTGTTTTCATGGCAAATACATATAATACACGTCTTAACCGCGTGACGTGGGGTTTTCAGTTGATTCACCAAAAAATTGAAGGGTCTACCTACCGAACGATTTTCAGGAGGAGCTTTAAATTTCCAAGGGGTTGGCATGCCCTGGTAAGGGGTGACCGCAGTTAGAAATATAAATTTTCTATAATTCTGGATGTTAGTCGAGCCACCACTAACCACTCGGCTATTGCAGCAGACATACTTATTTTATGTTTTTTATATCACTTATAGCAGACCTATGCAAATATTATATATATACTATAAATAAACTTATATGAGTATATACACCAAAATTAAAAATATATTTGTAATTAACACGAATAATAGATTATAATCTTAAATTCTCTGAAATACATATAATTTAACTACAATAAAATTTTTTACTTGTACGCCTACCTTCTTCCTGCCGGACATATACACATGTATAAGAAATATAATATATAAGGTGTTGTTTGTATTTATAGAGCCACACAGTAAAAGCACAACATTTTAAAGTTATTTTGGTCTTTAAATTTTTAATCTCTAATATTAAAATTTCTATTTTATTTACAGACTTATATGTTGCTGATATATTACACTGGTGCTGAGAGATCTTTGATTGCAATGTAAGGGAGATATCATTAAATAAATGAATGCAGCTTTTTCAAAGCAGATAGTGAAAAAATAATAATAATGAAAACAAATTATTAAAAAAAGATACTATTTATATGATTTAAATTTAAGAAAATTCATCTAAAATTGAAGACAAAATTATACAGGCTAAAACTGATTGTGTTTGTATGTATGTACAATATAGTTTATGTACATATTTATTAAATTGAAAAAAAATATTTCGTTTGAATTCAGCGCAAAATCAAGGTCAGACCAAAGCACGGCAACAGTTAGCCAAAACCAAGAGCAAAAACAAATTAAAAAAAATATATAATAATAGTTAAATGGAAATTAAAATGAAACTTAATATAAAGATAATAAAAAAATTTAAAATTTAATAATAATTAATAAAAATTAAAAAGAAATCATAATAAAAACAAAAATAGAGAACCATAAAAAAAGGGAAAAAATAAAAATAAACAATAAAAAAGTTCAAGTTGACAAAAAAAAAATCGAAGAAAAAAACATTAATAGTTTCAAAATAATGAGTCAAACAGAAAAGTGAAATAATAATAAATATTATGCGTATACAAAGTTATATATAACTATGTGCGTACACTGTTGCAAAAATATACCACAATATTTAGAACAAAAGAAGCACAACGCACAAAAAAAATTCTAGTGCATGAATTTATAACTTTGTACATAATAAATTTGTATGTAAATAAAGAATTTTACACAAAATCATACATAGAAACGAGATAAAATAAAAAGTGTTACAACAATCGAATTATAAAAGAATAGCAGCCGACACGCATAATACAACAGTAAAAACAATGCGAACAAAAACAACAATAATCGTAAAATTACAAAGAAATACGCATAATCACTGAAAGTACTTAATTTGTTCACACACACACGCACACACATCAATTGTGTAGGGTGCAAAAAAAAAGCAAAACGAAACGTCTGCGTCGGTAGACATTTAAGAAAAATAAATAAATAAAAAAAGAATAAAATAAAAAAAAGTAAAAAATTTGCATTAAAGAAGATCGAAGAGAAGAGTGCCCTGCACTAACAAAGAATTCGCTTAAGCCAGAAGCACACGCGTTATACATACATATATACGAGTATGTAGTGTGCACGCGCCAAAACCGCTAATGCAGCACAGCATCCGCTTGAATCGCGCGACCGGTTATCGAACTTTCGCGTATTGAACGCATCGGAATTGTCTAAAGAATAAAGAAGGAAAATTGAAAAAAAGAAATAACTTTTGTGCACGAGTATAATGCAGGAGGAGTAAAATCTTACTTAAAAGCACCAAATGCTTGACAATGAAATTCGCCACAATAAAATGGGAAGCAGTGCAATAAGCTTGTAAAGCTTCAAAAATCGATCAAATACCATCAACTTTCTCATAAAATCAAAACTTGCTGATGGTATAAAATTAACAAATTTAAAAAAACATAGAGCTTAGTAAGTAACAGAGAACAGTAAAAATAAATTATAGTTACAAGATAGATATATAAGATAATATACATACATACATATGTATTATATATAAAGACGTTCAGTATATAAATCTATCTGTTTGCCTCATTTTAGTATATTACTAACATACCCGGCCACACACAGGGTGAGTTCCAAAACGTTATAATACCTTGTAATGATTTCGTTGCGCAACCGTATCACTACAATGTAACCCAGCACACTCCGACGTCGGCTAGAGTTATTAAGAATTTAGGGAAAAATTTAGCTTCTCAAACCTTAGCGATGCGCAGTTTGCTTTTCTTTGCGCATCCATGACTTTACCGATGCATTTCGGAACATGAAAATAGTCAAAGTTTGCACAGCTCCATTTGGGAATGCGTAAAAATGTATTGTTGCTTTACCACTGATGTTTTGGAACTCACCCATAGTTCTGGCTTTCTGTGCTTTGTTCCTTTTCCTAATGGGGTTTGCACATCTTAATTATAAAGATTAAGTTTTTCATTGTTTTTCATTATTGTTGATCAAACTATCTGTTTGTATGTATAAGTCTCCTGTTCACTGCTTAAAGTCTTCCCCAAAAATGTCAGTTAATAGCCTCGAAATAAGCGAAATGCATCATTCAGATCTAAGCTTTATCATGCTCAAGTTGAACGTTTAAAAATAACGGCAGCGGACTAAAAATACTAAAAATGTGAAGCGAACATACCAACCCACCATTTGTGCTTATACCCAAATCATACCAAATTTTTACCAAACTAACGGCAATCTCTTTCTCGTAAAGAAAGACAAGGGTAGTTTTGCCTCAAACCTACTTCAACTCATCTCCCATGGTTTCAATATTGGTTATCAGTCTGATCATATCTTCTTTTCCCACATGGTATACCAATTTCATCTGGTGTTCCCCAAGGCAGACATCTCGGTCTTTCTTAAATTCACCAATGGCTTTCCAAGTGTAATTTAGTCAGTTGGTGTGATGCGAGCTTCGTGTGCCTAAATTTGAACAAGTGAAAATATAAAGTGGGTCTCAGCTTATTTGATACAGCACCCGATACGAATTTCGAATACCAATATTTTCTAAACTGAAAGGAATATTGAAAAACTGTATACGCTAAGTTATAAGGTAAAGAATTTCATATATAAAAGCTACTTCGGTTAAAAAAAATTATTATCAAATTTATGTATATAAAATTAAAATTACTACTAAATTTCAGATCACAGCTTATTTGATACAACACAATTTATTTCTGTGAAAGTCTTTTGCCTTAACAACAGTCTTGAACTTGATTGGCGTTGAGTTGACCAACTTTTGTTTGGTATCTGGGGTAGTTTTTTAACATACATTTTTGTATAATAAAGCCCACAAATTTTCAATAACATTCTGAGTTGATGAATGTGTCAGGGATGTCATCAAATGGAGACAGTTCCATATGAGCAAAGATTGATCGACTGCTGCTTTGTGTTTTGGGTCGTTATCATATGCAGCAAACTACTTCTCAGGGTATTGGGGTACATATTTTTGTCTATTCTTCCTTCAATAAACCCTAACTTTCCTACACCGGCTGCGGACACACAAGCCCAAAGCATCACACAACCACAGCCATGTTTCATAAAGGCTTTCGGGTTCTCCTTATTTAGCTCTCAAGTATTTTTTTTTGCCAAACGCAAGGCATGGCATAAATAATAAATATTTTATAGTGTTTCAAAAAACAAGGGTCTTACAAATATTTTCCTGATCAAACAGACATATTTTTTTTTTTTTTTTTGTTAAAAAACGTCTTCTTACGAGCAACTCGATCATTAAAATCATGTTCGCGGATTTTTTTCCCTAATTTTTGCTGAACATCTACAACCAATTTTTGTCCCGATAGTTTGCGGTTTGCCTTGAGTTTTCAAATAATTTGGCGCTCGCCAGAAGCTCTAAAAATTTTGTTTGGCGCTTCATGCTTAATCATGTGCTGTAGAGTGGAGGCACTAAGATTCGAAATTTCATCAATTTTATGAACTGATTTGCCATTTTTTAAGTGGTTCATGACCAGTTCCCGCTGCTCAGTATTTGTACGACGAATTATTTAAACGTACTTGCGGTCATTGTGTATTATTAGAGCACACTAAGAAATATAGAAAACTATTCATGAATGACGCCAATGTGAATGACAAAGTTAAATACAGTTATGTGGTGCGACAGTTCATCGCTTCGTGTTGCACAAGTATCCATATCAAATAAGCTGTAACCCATTGTACTCGTACGTGTATGTGTTATATGATACATAAGAACAATGTTGTTCAGGTCACCGACTTCACGGATTTAGGTGTCATAATAGAGCCTAAGCTGGATTTTAAAAATCATATAATTTCTAGTACTAATAAGGGAAAATGCATTTCAATAAACGCTCGGCTAAGGAGTTCAGTGACGCATACGAGTACATTATAAAATTACTCTTTACTTCACTTTCTAGACCCATTTTGGTATATAGCTCAGTTTTATGGAGTCTGCGCTACGAATTTTATAGTGAAAAATTGGAATCTATACAAAGGGAATTCCATTTAGAGAGCTTTACTTGATCCCTTCAAAAGACTTTAGGCAACTTTCACTTTATTTATGCCGAAGAAACTTTGAAATACACGACCCATTTAAAAGTTTGTGCAGGGATTTTAATATTTATTCCAGCATTGATTTGTCTGATTCGTTTTTCTGTATAAAAATCTAGTCAATTGGTTTAAATAATTAAATAATATCCCTTTTCTGTGTAATATATGGCAGTTGATGAGTAAATCTGTAGCGGTTTAGTGTAAGAGGAAAGTATAACCACGACCTTCCGCTTTCGGTCTCGGGTTCTGGGCACTCCAGACCAACACCGATTTTCGTTTACTAGTCTGTTGGATATTTCGATTTGACGGAAGTTTGGTTAAAGAAAAAAGTATTATTTATATTATATTTCAAACTATTTGAACTTCATTTCAGGTCTCTGATTCATTTACAGGAAACAAGTGTACTCCACATTGGTATATTATACAAATATTTTTTCAAATCGGTATTTTTTTTTTTTTTTAAATATATTGAACCACTTCCCCTGGAAAAAAATTCAAAGGACATGAAAAAAACTAAAGCGATTTTTTTTTCAAATAAAACAGCCCCTGCTCCAACTCTCGGAGAGAGAAAGAGTACTCCTGTTAATCTAAATAAAAAGCCACTTAAGTACCAATTTTCAAGTAGCTCATACCTTTGTCCACTGATAAACGTATGTATATGAAAATTGGCGAGCGCGGTGACCAAGTGATTAGCATTGCGTACGACCCTTCGGAAGGCTCGGTTTCAAATCTTACTACAACCAACATCCAAAAGTCATAGTGAATTCTTTTAAATGAAAAAATTATGAAAAATTTCTAATTGCGGTTGACCCTCGGCAGGGAATGCTAACTCCTGTAAGTATATATCTGATAAGAAATAAAGTTGGCTCTTAAAAAAACTCCATCAGACGTTCGGAGGCGACTTAGTATAAACTGTTGGTCCCTCCAGTTGTTGAAAAAAACATCAAGACGCAAAAAACCACAAATTGGAAGAGGAGTTTGGCCGAAAGTCGCTTCAGCGGTTAGAAAGCGCCAATTATTATTATAATAATTTTTTTTTTTTTTAAATAAACTGAATCAAACATTATGGGCAATACAAGTGAACCGTTTTGTGTTTACTAAGTGGTAATAGTTCATTGTCAAGATATTCACTCGTGAGAAAAAGCATCGACACTATGACTGAGTAACCATGCGAAACTCATACGGCTGTTTAAGCTGCGGCCGAGCAACAGCTTTGGTTCCGTCAGTATTGGGTGTGGTATCTTCAGTCGAGGCGACTCTCTTTCGCATGCCTTCTCAAACCTTATACTACGTTCTCCATCTTACAGTTCCATGCAACTGATGAGATATCTTTCGAATGCGATTTTCAATATTAACATTCAAAATGCATGTCAATTACTTTTAAGGTAGCATTGCAAATGTACTAATATAATATATTAGACCCCATATTCCAGGCTTGAACATACGTACAATTTGAAGTGGAATACCTTCAGCACGTACTAAACTTAATAATAAAATACTAAATTACATACTCCTAACAAAATTACCACAAACTTTACCTTATGCAACCCTTTTTCATGTATGTACGAGTATTTCATCTTCACTTCCGCTTTACGGTTTGGCAGCTTGTCTGCAGAATAATAATGTTGGCATTTTGCATTTGAAGCCTTCTTACTTTTCGACAAAAAGAAAATGAAGTTTTCGTGAAAAATTTCCCACTCGAGTCAGTTTTCCATCTTATGCACCTATGAGCATATACTGAGCACAGGCTGAGAGACTTAGCGGGCACTTTATTTGGCCGATTTCCCACCTGTGAAAAATATTCGCAAAAGAAGGAGGATGGTAAGCGTTTATCAATTACTGCACAACTCTTGCGCAGTCGACTCGGCGAAACTCAATTTTGTAAATTTCCGCTTTTTTCTTTGTGGCAACGCAGTGCTGTTGGTACAACCGCACGTACATGTGTATGTAGAAACGTGCGAATGTTTACTACTCGTAGTTCGAAGACCACATGTTTGCTAAAAAGAAAACATATTGTGTACATATATTTCCAATGTATTTTGTAGCTGTTTATTTAAAATTCAAACGTGGAGCGGATGTTGAAACGAACGAAATTTTCCATGTCATTTGCTGTCACAATACCAAAAATTATGAGTTTCATCTTCTTCTCCATCAGACTAGAAGCCATAAAAAAATAATAATTTTACTTGAGTACACAAACGCGAAGCCATTTTATATTTCGTTTGCTAGTATACCTTGATACCCGCGTCTCCAGAGCGCTAGTATTTATATACAATTGGCACTTTGTAATAGCCGAGCTCCTCCTCCAATATGTGGTTTGCGTCTGCCTGCTTTTTCCAACAAATGGAGGCACCTACAGTTGATACTCCAGCCTTGTGGTTATGTCTATTACAACTAAGTCGATTATGAGCTTCTTGACCTAGATACAACCATATATCTTTCACTCGAATCTGCTGCTAGAAACACTGTTTTATATAACAGGTCTGCAGAGAGTTACTCAGTCTCAGCGAGTTAGAAGAGATTTTATCTTCAAAACTGAATTTTGCGTCAAATTTATTTTATTTCCTCATCGCGAAATTGTAACTTTTGTGCTCTAATATTGTGATTCATACTGTTATAAATTCATAAAAACCGTCCTCCTCCCTCGGCAAAGGTTTGGGACCAAATGAGTCAAATCTTAAAAAGTCGCTTCGATGTGGAGAATGTTAGATTTTAAACCTACGGACCAAATGTCAGTACTCAACGATAGAAAGTTTACCTCTCTTTGCAAATCTTTACCTTATTTGAGCTCTTTTTACTATTATAAATGTCATAGAGATATACAGGGTTGTCCGTTTCGCGATTTCGAAAATAAATATACGGCATTATAAATGAAACACTACAACCATCATATAACTGTCTAACGAGTTTTCGCGAATCTCATTTTTCATTTTTCAACCACATTTGGTATGCAAGCGCTCAAGAGTTAAAGGTTTATCCATAAGAAAAAAATCAAACGGTGCACCATCGCATGATCTCAATGGTCAATTGACATCGCCAAGACGAGATGTTACGCAGCTAAAAAATTTCTCACGCAAAAAATCATATTCGCTCGTTTTGTCTCACCGTTTTCTTTTTCAGTAAAGTAAGGTCCTAATGCCCCTCCGGGATTAAGAGCGGACCGGACAGTAAGCTTTTTTGACTGTAATGGCTCCTCTTCAATTAATTGAGGATTCTCGAGGCTTCCAATTTTGCTTACTTACCATCCCCCGAGTGATAAATGTGCCTCGTCGCTAAAGTAACTTTTATACGTAAAATTGCCGTTTACTATTGATTGTTCAAGTACTCGATCTATGTATGTGTGACGTTTTGAGTGGTCTGTTGAATTCAGTTGCTTAGTGAGCTGGACTTAATATGGATATAGGTGTAAGCCCATACGTGCTGCGAGAAAGCACCCGCTCTTGAGAGCTTTGCTAAATAGACAAATTCGGGTCTTCAGCTACACTTACAGTAATAATATTTTATTTGGAACAAGCAAAACGTTGATGCAGCGGCTGTGCAATATCTGTCTCCACCAATTTCTTGAAAATTTTACCAAATTTCTTCGGTATTCGGACGATTATGTGTACCGTAATCTCCTCTTAAAGCACGAAATCTGGCGACGTATTGTATGAATCGCCATTTTGTTAGTAGGTTAAGTGATCCATTTTCATAAATAACTGACTTTTAACTAAAACAAACTAAAACAAAACATATTTGGTTTGACAGTTAATTTTTCAAATGTCAAAATAAAGCAGTGCATTTTTAAAAGCACCAAACGCATAACGCTATATATTGACATAAAAGATATTTATTAAAAATTTAACAAAAACCCGGTCAGCCGTGAAATCTGCACCACAGTTCAAGTTCATTTTGGCGCCAACAACAGCATTGAGGAAGTGTGTCATTGACAAAGGGAGCAAAAAATAAATAGGTTTTACACAGAACAAAGCGACAATATACGTGTATATATGTACTTGCATGTCGAAATGCAGAGCAATGTCGGTAAATATTTGGTATGCAAATGACAAAAACAAAAAAATGGCGAAAATAATAATAGAATATTAAAAATAGAAGATCAAAACAAAGTCACTTTTTAAAAGTATTTTTCAATAAGTCACTATTTCCTGCTTTTCAAAGAAATTCTTACACAAATTTATATGTCAGCGGCAGTTATCAGCTACACACATTGCACCGCTATTCAATTGTAATGCCATTTTCCATTACTTCACTGCCGATTGTTTATCTTTTTTTTGTTTTATTTTTCTTTTTCTTTCTACGTAGCTGTTTTTTTTTTATTTTTTTTTTTTTCTTTTGATTTCCACATTTCTTATATCCGCTAGTTATAATATTATTCCATTTTGATATGCGTCGAAATAAAACGAGAGAAATGAAAATATTTGTGAAAATGTTCGCACTTGTTCAAATTTTCCGTAAATGAAATGGAAAAAGTTGCAAATAAATGCTAAAAATGGAAATGAAATGTATAAATGGAAGTGAATAAGTTCAAAATATGATTGCAGACAGCTATTTGTTTGCAAGTGTGAAAATCAATGAAAATTTGTAAATAAATAATTTTGTCAGTAGCAAATCAACCGAAACATAATTCAAAGGCAATAATGACAGTGGAACTGTAATATTTTTGACTACTCAGCTCCATGCCTGTATGAAATAAAGGTACACTGCACGACGATAAGGGAGTACTCCAAAACTAACCACACTCCTTGCAAAAAATATAGTCTAGTGACCATATAATCCGCCTTTGTAGAGTATATCCTTGGGATAAGGCAAATCTTGTCCGCCAAAAACTATGATGAAGAGTTTATTCAAAGTAATAAGGAAATCTCTTTACTTTGACTCGAGGCCTGACAGCAGCATCGAATTATCTTCGTCAGAACTTTTTGGAAAAATGAAAAAAAAAATTGTGCACTATGATGCACGACTAAAGAAAAATCCCGATCATCTTTGGCATTACTAAGTAAGGTCAGCGCTAGTTAGCTGCCAGGAATGCTAACGCCTCCGCAAAGAAAAAAAAAACAGTGCGTTGAGTATTCACGTGCGTTTTTAGACCACATTAATCAAGAGATGGATAATGAATTGGGTCGAATTGAAGCTGCAGGAAAAACTTGAGTTCATTATTGTGAACCTGAGTCATAACAACGCTTCATGCATTGGCAAAAAAACAACTCCTAAGAAGTTTAGGTATCACAATCAAACTGGAAACTCACAGCAAAGATCTTTTGAAACTTTTAAAAAATATTATTGATCGAATATAAAAAGAAAGATGCTTCTCTAACTAGAGAATATTGCGCTTCAATATAAGAACGACTAAAAAAACTCATTAAAGAGAATTGACGAGCAATATAGACGAAAGGTGTGCAGCTTTGGCTCACAAAGGCCCCGTTCCGTTGCCTGCCCTGCCCAAGAGGGTTTGGCTTCTTTGAAACGTTCAGTCTACATATCTACTCTCAAACGATTACTTTTTTCCAAAAATTACAAAAGAGTTGAAGCATAAAAAAAATTAACACCGATGATGAAGGCAAGGAGATAGTTTCGACGTATTTTGAAGAAAATGAGGAAACATTTTTTTACGAGGGTATATTTTAGTAAACTAATGGAAAGATCTGAAAAATGTATACGTTTTGCAGTTGTTTATATTGAAAAGAAAAATATTTTATAGTTTTTTTTCCACACCTTCTTACGCATTTCGCGAACATGGGAACACCCCCTGGTTGAAGGAACTAAGAATCGACTAATAATTTTTGATACTAATTACTCTGACCGATAACAGGTAACAAAGGTAAAGCCTAACTCATTACCGGATATTTGATTCAAATTATGTCTTAAACCACCCGCCGAGAACTCCCAAACTCTGGCAAATTGTACTTCAAGTTAACTTACATATAATAATTAAGGCTCCTCCTCCAATTTGTGATTTGGCGCCTTGATGTTTTCCAACAAATAAAGGGACCTAAAGTTAAATCCAAGCCACTTCCGATCGGCTAATGGATTTTCATGAGGAGCTTTTTAATTCATGTCAGATATACACTCAGAAGACTTAAAAATCACTCTATTTTGGCTGATCGGTTTTCCGATTGGCAGTACACAATGCTAACCATTCGGCTATTTCGACTTACCTACTAATGACTGAACACGCAAATATATAACAAAATGTTTGCGCCTAAATACAAAAAAGTAAATATTCTCTTCTGCAACTTTTCAATGTTTTCGGCAGGAGACGAAACGAAATTGTTACAATTTTAGTTTCACGCAATTTTCTGTAGATGAAAGCGCGCTATAAACTTTCAACTTCGTATAGTGATGACGATCGTTGAAATGCGAGCAATGATGGGCTAACAACAGGCTGATTGATGATGATCTATGATTTGATCCACCGACGCATTACAGAGAAGCACTCCAATAAATCGAATGGTTCACAAATTTTTACAGGGTAATGTGTCGCCCACTGTTCTTTACACACCTACATAAACATGCATATGTATGTATGTGATAATGTATACGCAACACAGTCTAATTTAATTTTCGATGATTTACACAATTTTAGTTTGCTTTTAGCACAGTGAGAACTTAAACAGCGCGATTCATGAGTTTCATTGGTCGAGCAATCAATTTGTGGTTGCACTTGTCGAATTTGATGTATTTGATTTTTCATTTTTTCTTTTTTTTTTTTTTGTAAATGCTAATTTATTATTCATTCATTTCATAAATCTAATTAATTGAGCTGAGCACCGGCCTATGTGAAAAAAAAAATATTTCATTATTTTCAGTTGAAATTCGCTTTCCTGTAATTAGAACTTTTAGTTTGAAAAAAGATGCATATATTTTTATGGCTTGATTTTGATTCAATTTTTCGATGATATACATAAATCGAATACTTTGCTTGCTCGAAAGTCGGCCAGATAGCTGGATTCAATTTCCATTTACTCAAAATATAAAAATAATTTCTTTCATGGAAGAAAATTTTTATGATTTTGGTATAAGCATTGATCGTGCGTAGGTATGTATGTTTCCTGCGCAATTTGCTTTTCTTCGGCAACGGGTCACAAACTATTCTTTTACATACATTCAACTTGAATGTGAATAAACTCAGATCCGAATGTTACATTTGGCTTACTTCGATGCTTATACAAAGCCACTTCCGAACGGTTGATGAGCTTTCCTCTCAGGACAAAAAACATATATTCATATTCGGTAGATATGGCCTGCCGCCGATGGTCCGATGAATGTAAATAAGTATAAGAAGAGGAGATAAATCCATCGAAATTTATACCGATCTAATCAAAATGGCAGATATTAAGATATTTCAACCAAACTTGATACCCAGGTGCAAAGGTGATAGAGCATACCTGCGACCAATTTTTCAAATATGTGATAAGAATGTGATATTTGGTACTCTATGTACATATACTGTGAGCAAAATGTAAGGAGAATTTATTTGTAAAATTAAAAATCTTTATTTTTTTCCTCCAATCATCGAAGCACGTCAAATAGTCACGTTCTGGTATGGTCTTCAGAGAGCACGCCGATTCACGTTTAATCTCCTCAATCGACTCAAGACGGTATGCTCGAGGTGGTATCTTGAGTTTTTGGAAGAGCCAGGTGGTTGGGGAACGAAATGGTCACGAAGTGACATTATCGTGATGCAAAAACCAGGAAGGCACTTTTAGACGTTTAGTAAAATTAGGCGTAGATGTCAATAACCGTACTACCAACATTAAAAAAAAAGAACTAGCCCGAAATATTAAACACGCGAAGTTCAAATTAAAAATTCATCTTACTTTTTGCTCACAGAGTATAAGGAATTTGTACTGTAAATTACCGAAATCGGGAAACTAAACAATTTATTCAGAGTAAAAAACTTTGTCAAGAAAGCATATAAAAGCACTTGCATCAACAGAGAAATATCGAGATCGGAAATCTTGAGCCTCTTCTAACATTTTTTTCAGACATAAAAATTAATGTTTGATTCTGAAATCAAATATCATAAATTTCATACGGTCATGCATGGTATGAAGATGGTTTGGATGTTGGTCAGACCTACCGCATGGTACTATGCATAGGAATTCACGCGTCCACTTCGTCCAGGATCTGAAGGATCTGGTTTCACTTGATCTCTCCAATTAGCGCGTTATATTGACTTGCCTGTATTTACGTAGGCGAAGCCAGGCCTTTCAAGAAGACGAGCTATTTACATTTTACAAAAAAAGAATTGGTAAAAATGTCTAAAATCTGGATTTTGCTATTTGCAAAGAAAACATAAAAAATATGTTTAAAAGATGTGAATCCAACACAATTACATACACAATAAACTGCAGTAAGTCCACAATGCCAAGCGGTTAACCTTCGACTCATAGCTCATCATCATAACGAGAAACGCATACATAAAAATAGGAAAATATTTACATACGCATATACATGCATTGTGTGTGAGTAATACCAGTTTATTTGATTTAGAAAACTGTCGTGTCAAATTCATTCAATTTGATGATCAACAACTTTGAAATGTCAAAGCAAATAATAATTTAAATAAAATAATGCAAATAGTACACTCAACGCATAGAACTACTCGCTTTGAGGTGCATTCCAGACTAAGAAATATTAAGAAATTCGTGATTATAATGCTATTCTAGCAAAATGGAACTCAAATACTGTGCGACCATTTCTAAGCAAAATTTCACATTGACTGTTTTGCGAGAAGTCACTAAATCTGGCATTATTTTTGCGACTCCAAAAATATATGTGCTGAAATTTGCACACATAAAAACGGCAAAAATTATGAAATACACCAAAACTTCTATTTCCTCCCTCCCCGATAAGTCTCACTAATTAACTGCCTAATTAAATTAATAGGAAAAATGTATTGTATTATAAAATTTCCATTTATTTTGGAAAACCCCGCGATATGAGCATTATTGATGCGCCGATTTTCTGCCAAATCTTACAAATACATATATGTATTTATGAAAAAATTTGCAAATATGCATTTGACATTTCTGTTTAATAATTAATGTAAATGTAAATAAAAAAAAAAACTGAAAAATAAGCGATACCGCAAATCGCTGACATGTTGTTTAACCACTCAAATGCAACACTGCCAATTATTTTTGTTAAACTCACCACAACATCGCAAAATGAATGCAGAATGTGTGTATGTAATGCATTC